CAAATGTATGTTGTGCTGAAATGTGGTATGTTTTACAATGCCAATTTAAAGGTGTAGTCAAGGTGAATAGAAATGAATTGGCCTAAATCAGTCAAAATCCAGATATGGAAATGTGAAGGTATCAGAGGAAGGAAGAGGCGAAAACATTCAGTAAGCAATGGTGAGACAACGTGCAAAATACCAAATGGAGTACTGAAGCACAGAGCCTCTGGGGTTAGAAGCGATCTGTGGGGAATCTGGATTCCAAGAAAGTTTTTTTTAAAAAAATGCAATAAAAACATATCTAGTAAAACCTTTGATTTGCAAACCTTTGATCTGTGCACATTTGAATTAATGGCTAGTTTCAGGTCAGGTTGTTTAAATATTGTGCCTGGGACAGGGATTCTTTTCTTTCAGCTCTTGTTAACCCTGCAGGTCACAGCTCTAACAAGTAGGTTGGTTGTTCCTATAACAATCCTTGCATTTGATATACCAGTTTTCCTGTCTTCTAGACGTCTCATAGCGCTACACAGAATATAAGTGAATTGATTATATTTGTGGGCGAAATGCGGCAGCCAATTGTGCACAGCAGTGTCCCACAAACAGTTGTGGATCGAAGAGACCAATTTTATTATTGTTTTTTTTTCTTGAGGGATTATTATCAGGCGTGTGGAGTAAGGAAACTTACCCAAGGTTTCGTCCTGCTGGGAATTGAACCTGGGTCTCTCGCTTGCAAGGCAAGTGCTCTAATCACTGGGCTGTAGGACGCCTAGACTGGACAAGCAACAGGAAGCTGGCCAGGCAATGCTTTCAATAGCACGCTATGTGATTTTACTTGGTTAAACCAGATTGTTACCAGAGATAATAATTCTTGCTATTTATAGAACTCCTTAAAACTTTATCACAACATCTCAAAGCATTCCCCAGGATTTAAATTAAATTTTAGTAACTATTTGCTGGCAAACTCAGCAGCCAATTTGCACATATCAATCAATGGTCATGAAGTTGTGTTCAATTTTATCTGGAGGAGGATGAGGAGTTTCAATTATGAAGAAAAGTTAGTTTTTTTTTCCCCCCCAAGAGAGTTAAGGGGTGATCTGATAAATGTATCTGTCTTTGGAAGAGTTACAACGATATAATAGGTTAATAGTTTATCTAGTCAGTGAGTCAGTAATTAAAGAGCAATGTTCAAGATATTTTCAGAAAGACGGAGGGTTACAAAATATTTGTTTACACAGAAGGTGCTTGCAGTATGGAATTCTGTCACACACTCGTTGAAGCGGTTGAGAAATGATTGAGACATCTCAATGACATGATAAGGTGCTATATCAAATGCAAGGATTATTATCTTAAAAGGGAATTAGATAGGTGCTTGAAAAGGTGAAAATATTAAAAGGTTGAGGGCAATGAGGAGCAGAGTGGAGTTCGATTAGATGGCTCACACGGAGTAAAAAATTTCAGTGTAGACTGAATGGTCTGTTCTGTGCTGTAACCTTCTATGATTCACAATGGAACCGGTTTGGCATTCTGTCGTGCAATGAGAATAACCAGTTAAACTGTGTCTCCAAATTGAACAACAACAACAAGATTACATTTGTATAGCGCCTTTCACATCGGGAGGACGTCCCAAGGCACTGGAGAGTGTACAGCATCTCAGACACTAGCTGCAGTAAGGGGAGGGGAAGGTGGGTGCCCAATGGCATGGTCCAAGAGGAGGGTTTTGAGGCGGGACTTGAAGGAGGCTAAGGAGGGGGTGAGGCGGAATGATTGGGAGATGGTGTTCCAGAGATTGGGGGCAGAGTGGCTGAAGGCTGTCCCACTGAAGGTGGGGCGAGTGGGTCGGGGGATGTGGAGCAGGCTGGAGTCGGCTGAGCGGAGGGAACAGGCAGGTTGGTAGGGGTTTAGGAGGTCACAGAGATAGGGTGGGACAAGGCCATGGAAGGCTTTGTAGGTGAGGACCAGGATTTGACCTGGATCCTATGAAGGATAGGGAGCCAATGGAGCAGCATGAAATGTGGAGGAACACTACAATTTTGCTCATTTATTTAGTCCCATATTATTGCAATTGGGGTCAGCTCTCTGGTGTGTGAATCCCACAGACTGAGGGCGTTCTATTTCAGAAATTTTCATAATTAGATTTCAGCACTTTGAAGTTTCTAAACTTTCTTGTGTTGGTAGTCAATAGTTTAACCAATTTGTTTGTCTTTGAATTGACTGAAGATGAAGAATGAGGCCAATGTGAAACTGGATCTTGTAGTATAGCTCATGATAATCAAAAATAAGAAATATTGGCCAAGGTTCACTTTGTTGATCACTACCTGTTGGTGACCAAGTTGATCTGCAGTGTGCATGTATCTTGCTGCCAGTGAGGACAGGCTTTTTTATTTCGGTCAGCTGGATGCCCTGCAGAAACCCATCACCGTGCTTTAAAGCATCCAAACCAGACTGGGAGTTCCCCAGGAATATGCCCACCTACACGTGAAAATGTCTGTGTTTCTGGAATAGATTCCACACTCTCTCCCTGGAGGGACACATCCTGTTTAGCTGATTCCAGAGAGTAAAATGCACAAGTTAGTAAGTGCCAAGGCATAGGGAGTCCAAAGTTTGTGTTGGCGTACTGCTTGAGTTTAACTAGCTAAAATCTGCAACATTTACCATTGAAATCTGGGCAGCTAAAAACTGTCTGACCAGCTTCCTGCAGCTTAATAATAATAATAATAATCCTTGCATTTGATATAGTGCTTTTCACATCTTCTAGACGTCCCAAAGCGCTTCACAGAATATACTGTAAAGTGAATTGACTGTATATTTGTGGGCAAACGTGGCAGCCAATTGCGCACAGCAATGTCCCACAAACAGTCGTGGATTGAAAATGACCAATTTATTATTGTTTTATTTTTTTGGAGGGATTATTATTAGGCGTGTGGAGTAAGGAAACTTGCCCAAGGTTTCGCTCGGCCTGGAATTGAACTCAGGTCTCTCACTTGCAAAGCAAATGCTCTAACCACTGAGCTACAGGATTCCACGACCATCCTACCCTTTAAGGCTTTGGCTTGCAAAGCCTTAAAGGGTAGGATGAGTTAACAGGAGCTGAGTTGGAATAATCCCTGTTCCCATTGACTTGCCTGCCCTTCCAAGTCCTGAGAAAGCTGGCAGTTATGTGGGTCACAACCAATTGTAAGGACTGTAATTTTTTTCCGCTGGTTGTTAAATTACATAATTAAGGGTGCCCCGTAATTCTGTTTGTACACAAGCGTTTTGCACGTGGTTTACACTGGCAGATTAGAGTTTAAAATCTAAAACTAAATCCTAATTAAAATTAATTGCATTTTACTCAATCCCAGCTACCCATTGCTAAACAACAACTTGTATTTATACAGTGCTCCTCACGCAGCATAGTGCTTGGCAGAGCATGACCCCAAGCCAGGGGGAGGGGGGAAGATGACCATAGACAGTCGAACAGGAAGGTCTTCAGGCGCAACCTGAATATAGGGAAGCAGCGGGCAAGCCAGAGGGATAAAGGAAGAGTACTCCAGAGTTTGTGGGCATAGTGGCTGAAAGTGGCTGATGATGGGAGAGGAGGGCATGAGGAACATGCAGAAGCCAGTTGAGTGGAGATTGTTGGTTGGGGAGTAAGCAGTTCAGAGAGGTAGGGCGGTGCCAGGTCATGAAGGGATTCGAAGATGAATGCGAGGATCTTGAAATCGATCCATTTAGTGGTAGGGAGCCAGTGGAGCCTGGCTAGAACTGGTGTGATGGGGGTACAGAGATTAGTGAGGGTGAGTATGCAAGCAGCGGAGGTTTGGATTAACCAGGTTTTGTGACTAGTGGAGTTGGGGAGACAAGTGAAGAGAGCATTTGAATAGTCGAGGTGGGAGTCTGAGGGATAGGCTGGGGAGGTAGAGGAGGACAGAGCCACAGGACAGAAGACGTTGATGGGAGCCGAGGAGTATGGCTTCTGTCTTGTCAACATTTAGTTGCAAGAAATTTGCACTCATCCAGGCCCTGATGTCTGCCAAACACAAAATGATAAGAGTATCAGCGGACCTGAATTCGCAGCTGGAAGAGTAGATTTTGTGTGTCACCTGCATGCGTGTGGAAGTTGCAGATGACATGGCCAAGAGGGAGTACATAGACGAGGAAGAGGAGGGGGCTAAGGACGGAGACCTGGATTACACCATAGGTGATCGGGAGGAGAAACCGTTTGAAGAGACAAAGTAACGGCGATTTGTTAAAGTAGGACTCGAAGCGGAGGAGTGCGGTGAAGGCGGATGAGGGAGGAGAGGCGGTGAGGGGGGGCGAGGACGGCGTTGAAACGACCACAACAACAAGATTGCATTTGTAGAGCGCCTTTCACTTTCACGAAAGTGGTAGAGGAAGAGGAGGAAGAGGAAGAGGAGGAGGAGAGAGCCCTGGTCATCCAAAGAGGACCTCATTTGTGACCTCAACAAGACCTGTCTGTCTCTGGGGACAGAGATGCTGTTTGACGGGGCTGAGGTTGCGGGTCCTGGGGAGCCCCCCCTTTCCCCCCTCCCCCCCCCCCCCCCCGCTTAACACATCCCGCCGGTCAGGTAACATTCGGGGAAGAAGAAGAGGAGGAGGAGGAGGAGGAGGAGGAGATGGGAAAGTTGCCTTAGCAGAAAGAGCCCCGAAGAGGGCGCAGCGCCGCCGCCTTCTCCGATGCAACTCTCCGCCACTGCTCCGAAGCCCTGACATTTCGAGCTGAGGGCTCCTCCGGGTTGCAGCTCACAGCCCTCTCTCTCTCTCTCTCTCTCTCTAGTTTGCTACAGCCCCTTTTCCTCCTCCCCTTCCCTCTCCCTCTCCCCCCCCCCCCCCCTTCTTCCCCCATCCCCTCCCCATCCCCTCCCCATCCACCTCTCCACTCGGGTCTCTCTCTCTCCCCTACGGATCAGTTGGCGAGAGATGCGCTGTTAGAAAGCCCATCGCGTTAAAGCCACAGCAGCGGCTGAAAGTTACCCCCTCTCTCTCTCTCTCTCTCTTCTCTCTCTCTCTATTCTCTCTCTCACTCTCTCTCTCTCACACTCCCTCCCTCTCCCTCTTCCCCCTCCGGACTCGGACATGCAGCCCAGGTCGGCGGAGCCTCTCCGGCTCCAGGTCGCTCTGGACCAGAGGAAGATGAGGGGGCGCAGAAAACGACAGGATTTGTTGGGGTGGCAGATCTGCGCACTGGGCAGCGTTCTGCTGCTGGTGTCCTGCATCTCCAGCCTGGCCGAGAGAGCAGGTAAAACAACACAGGGTGGGGGGGGGGGGGGTGGGTGGGGGGATATTTTCTCTATGTGTGTGTGTGTGTATTTTATGTATATATATATATATATGTGTGTGTGTGTGTATTTTAGATGTGGATCAATCTTTTGTTTACCTACCCCCCAACCCCACTCCATCCATCCATCCATCCATCCCTCCCCATCATCACCATCACCACCACCTCCCACTCCACTCCACGCTCCACTCACTGCTGTCTCTCCAGATCGCTCGGTCACTCGGGCTCGGTCACTCGGGCTCGGTCACTCGGGCTCGGTCACTCGGGCTCGGTCACTCGGGCTCGGTCACTCGCGCTCGGTCACTCGGCTCGGTCACTCGGGCTCGGTCACTCGGGCTCGGTCACTCGGCTCGGTCACTCGGCCTCGGTCACTCGGCTCGGTCACTCGGGCTCGGTCACTCGGGCTCGGTCACTCGGGCTCGGTCACTCGGGCTCGGTCACTCGGGCTCGGTCACTCGGGCTCGGTCACTCGGGCTCGGTCACTCGGGCTCGGTCACTCGGCGCTCGGTCACTCGCGCTCGGTCACTCGCGCTCGGTCACTCGCGCTCGGTCACTCGGGCTCGGTCACTCGCGCTCGGTCACTCGCGCTCGGTCACTCGCGCTCGGTCACACGCGTTGCCATATTTGCGTTTGTAGTTGAGGATTACAAGCAGTTTCCCTGAGTCTGAAAACATGTACCAGAAGACCCTGACTCCCAATAGGAACCCCCCCCCCCCCCCCACCACACACACACACACACACAGGTAACTGAATTGCAGCTGATGGGATTCATTTATAAATAATATATTGTATATAGACCGGCTTTCCGAGTCATCTCTGTAAATTTAGGTTTTTTTAGGTTTTTTTTAAAAAAGGGTAGGTAACTCACCAGCTCGCTTGAGGCGACTTACGGGGAAACTAAAGTGACACGGATGGCGAGGATGTGTTGTAGCGAGGAGTTTGTGTCCGGTGTTGGGTCATACCGCACATCTGTGTTCCCTGGGCATAGAGTGGACAAGACTTTATTTGATTGTGCAATACATTATTCTGCACTAAAGTAAACAATATATAAAGACGATTTGCCTCCAGGTAAGAATAGGTAGTCAGTGATGAGGGCAGAGTATCTACACCCTGTGAAATGGATAAACCACAATCCTGTTGTTTACCCGAAGATCACCTGACGATTATTCCAATCCACACCAATGTGCCAGCATCTAGCGAAGAACAAAATACCCACTTAATGCCAATTTGTCCACCTCACAAGCTATTTCGAAGCCTTTGTGAACGTGGTTGTACAGTATAGCTATGTCACTGAGAGATGGAGGGAGGGTTTGATACCGTCCCATCACCAGCACAGTAATTGACCAGAATTGAGAATAAAATCTTGTGAGCATAACACTTATTTTTAAAAACACATGCACACTTTCTGTCAGATGCTTTCACAGCGGCAAGCCGGTCAGTGACAGAGGGTTTGGAGTCTGTCACCAGCTAGTGCCTCTTGGTCTGTGGTGCTGTGAGATCCCCCAACAAGAAAGAGAGAAGTAAAATCAATGTTCGCTCCATCGGCCATAAATATCTAAAGGAAGATGTTAAAAACTAATCTTGTCTGCGGGTTCCTATGATGCTTCTGCAGCTTAAGTATCCCTTGTCCTTCAATTGCCCTTGCAACTATCATCCACATATCTGCACTCTATATTGTGGTTTCACTAAGATCTGTTTGGTGTAGAGTTTTCATGCTCGTGCTTACGTGTGCTTCAATGCACACAAAACTGTCAGATTCTGCTTAACACAAACACATGTTTTTAAAATGGAGAAAAAAAGTCCCCTTAACAGTCATACATTAATCTCCTATCCGAGCTGCAGTGCATTTAAACACGATAATATGTCTCAAATGACTGATAAGCAGAAGGAAGTGAACTTATCTGAACTGACTCCAATGTAGTGGATCAGAGTTGTAAGCAGGAACTGTAACTGTGCAGTCAGCCTGCTCTCCCTGCGCTCAATGTAGGTTGGAGACAACTTCATATTACTGAACAACTACAAGGCTAATGAGCAGTTATGCAAAAGGTAAGGAAATCTTCCAGTTTAATAACTTTACCTAGAATTATATGTAATGTTGCAGCATGGAAACAACAACTTGCATTTATACAGTACCCTTCGCACTGGGTTGCGTCTCGAAACACGCCTTTCAGCCTAACTAGTTTGTGCCAGTGATTGTATTCCACATGAGCCTCCACACCTCCTAATCCCCTCTAACATACCCCTCTATTCTCTCCTCCCTCAGGTATGTAAAACTTCCTTTTACTAACGTAGTAAAACTGATTAAATGGGGGAATCTCATAGAGGTTTTCAAAATTAGGGAGGGTTTTCACTGATCAGCTGGAAGGAATTTTTTTAACCAAGCGGTTGTCAGACTTACAAAAAAATAGTCCTGTAGCCAAACCCATACCACGTTAGAACAGAAATTGAATTAATACAGTATTTGAATGAAAAATAGTAAAGGGTATAAAGGAAAGATCAATGGTATATCAAATCCAAGTATTATTATATAGCGGCTTTCACATCGGGACGACATTTTAGGACCAGCATAGACAATGGGGGAGATAGCAACCGCATAGACACAATGGACCAAATGGTCGCTTGGCTGTGCTGAAAAGATTCTCCTTTTAGTATATCACTGGCTAAGAGTACTTTGACCACCTGGTTATCCTGCTCCCTCCTCTGGTTCTTCGGAATTACTGTCCATTCTTCCCTCCACACAAGGCTTCTGCCTTCTTCCAACAAGCAGAATGCACAGCTACCATCAACAAGGTTGCAGTTAGTTCTGAAAGAGCGCGGAGTTAACCCACTCGCTCAAGATGTTTCTTTACCTCGCTGAAAGCCTTTTCCCAACGTACCTTTACCTTCTGCTCATATGTATGTGAGCTCCGAGTCTCATGCCATTAAGTAGGTTCACCCCCTCTCCCCCCGCCCCGGGCTGGGACAAAGCACTGATTTTCATTCCAATTGTATTATATATGCATCTTAGTTGAATTCTGCTCCCAACTAATTGAAATTTCTGTCTAGTACGCACAGTGATGACTGCCTGATGTTGTTTATTAATATCTTCACCGTTTAATAAACATCAACTTCACTGTTCTGAATGTTTTAGTGCATGTGGTGAAGGGAGCCATACATTTAAAACTTTAATAGAGGCACTTTGTTATTCAGCATTTGAATCCTGAAGATGACATTTGATGGACAGACATTGGAATTACCTTCACAGAGGAAACCCAGTGTTTAGGGCTGAAATCGTAACTAAATTATCACACAATAAAGGTCTAGTAACCCACTGTCAGCCCCCTGGTATTTAAGAACTTGTTTACAACAACAAAAGCAACAACAATTTGCATTTATCTACCACTCTTTGTGTGGGGTAACTTCTCAGAGCACTTAATAGTGGCGGAGCTTGACGCCGAAGTGGGGATGCTATTTAAATGCTATTTATAAAGTCATTTCAATTTACATTGTATTCTGTGAAGTGCTTTGAGATGTCCCAATGACATGATAAGGCACTGTATTAAATGCAAGGATTATTATTATTATTTATCCCATTATATTTTCAATTTTGAACTGTTACATTCGCACACTAGAAATGTACCGGCCAAATGATTAATCAGCCATTCCTCCACCATGCTTTTCTCAGATAGAACCATGCTGGTCATCCTAAATAAGATTATGTTTCTGTCCAAACCCTGATAAATTTGTCTCCATGTCCTCTTGAACATGATAATTATTTTTCTTTTAAACATGCACAAGCGGTGTTAAGGCTTCCGAGCCGCTGCCTTGTAATTGTGGGCTCTGCACAATTTTAAAAAGCGCACTGAAAAATACTTTATGATATATTCTGTGAAGTGCTTTGAGACATCTCAACAGTGTGATAAGGCGCTAAATCAAATGCAAGGATTGTTATTATTATGATTATTGTTAATAAAGGGAAGAGTAGTCTCACTGAACCACTCTGCTAGGAACTATCTTTGTAAGATTAAGGTAATGGACAATAATTTGCCTTTTAGCTCAATTTCACGTGGCCATTTTACATGAGCTTGAACCTTGTGTTTCCCAGCCAGGCTCAATCCCAATTCCTACTCTGTGGTAGAGTTCACTGGATAATGATATCCCTGAGCCCTGGCTGTTAATTGTCTCCCCGCCCCCCCCAAAAAAAATTGGGAAATGAGACTAATTGACACATCTTCACTGTTGTCTTGTCTGAAATTAAATAACTGTGCATAGCCTGGCATTTGAATTTACTATATGACTGTTTTGCGTGGCTCAGTGTGAACCAAACGGTCCAACATTAATACCCTGGAACGTTTTGATCTGCAAACATGGCATCACGAGAATTGTTGTCACTTCCAAATCTGGCGAAAAACCTCGATATCAGATGAACAATCTAAAATCTTATCTCCTTAACTCCAGAGGGAATTGGTCTTGTCATTCTTGCCTCTTAAACTTGTCAGATCTATCTCCTCCTTAACATGATACCGTGAGAACTAATACATTTTTCCCTCCTAGTCTGGCTGGAGGTTATCGGTTCTGTCTCTCTTATGAGTGAAATAACCAGAGAACTGATGAGTATTCAGGTTCTGAATGAATAACTCCCACAACCCCCACATTCCATGGCATTGTAGAAACCCAAGTGAAGCCCCGGTGAAGATGATGGTTGGCTCACCACAGGATTGAAATCTGGGACCTTCAGTCTGTATGGACTAGTAGCAACCTTAACCCTTTAGCTCCTAATCCAATGGGGGATCTTTACATTATTCTGCACTAACCATAATGCAATTCTCAGCCACGAGTTGTTGAAAGCTAACATACTTTGCGAAATATAGCAAACATTTTAGCTAGGTATTTATAATGGCATTTCCTGTTAAGATAATTATCAGCGAAGATCACTAATTTTCAAATCTTATCAATTGCTTGGGTCTGAAAAGCTTCAGTCA